CTATATAAATTATATACTATGAAGAACAATTAATTTTAGCGTTTGTGCTGTCACATATTTTTCGACACGTTGCTGCGTTTGTCACAAAATTAGCGACATGCTGCTGCAATTTTTGCGACACGCTACCAAATTAATATTAGTTTGTATTACTGAACTAAATTAGTGCCGATCGTGGGTTTGTTTGACTGCGGAGGAAGATTTTATCATGTGACTTACTTATCTGATTCATCAGATCAGCTCACCGTAACACACATAAGAAAACTCGAAACCAAGTACAAATTCGGGAGATTAGCAATGCAATATTTCCGATTCATACTTACAGTACCTCTACGATTCATTTTCACAATATTACATATTTGAGAAATTGGTCACTTAATTTTGTCAAGATATTTACTAAACATTTAAGAATTCAGCACGCTTATCATTTCATTACCAGAGAATTTACGGCGCTGATGATACACGAGTTTAAGATAATATCTTATCACGGAAATTTATTGGGGGCCAAAAAGAGTACATGCATGGTCGATAAGTCCAGAGGAGAGATGTTTACTTGGTTCATTAACCATGTATTTTGTCTCTTTATACTGCATATTCAAGAGTAATCTTGCTGAAGGGTCTCATAAGCTTCATCCATCTTTTGTCTCATTTATCCTCATACAAGTGAAGATTCATATGATTCATGTACAAAAATGTTCAAGAAAGAATCCAGCCACAAGTGTGTAAGCTTCTTGATGAACTGCTGACTTTCCATTTGTGTCACTATGCATATCACAATTCTGGACATTTTAATTAGCAATATAACAATATTGATATAAATAAGTAAAAGAAAAAGGCGTGAACAGACGCAATTCTATGGCGCATGATCAAGAATATCTTGTAAATGACAATAGTTTATTAAAATCGTGGAAGACCGTGTTCGGGAACACGGTCGATGTTATTATTTTGGTACGCTTTTGATCATTTGTTCGATTGAGTTTTATATTCTTAATGTTGATGTAAATACTTCTTATTCATTATAATAGAAAACCTACTTCCCAATGTTCTTCGCTACCAATGTTCAGATAATAATATCTTTTGTTCTTTCAGGATTATTCATCCACCCAACTCCAAATGTCCTTTGACAGCACTTCCAACAGTAGTCAAATCAATCAAGAATGTGTCGTGTCCATACAATGAATCTAGTTCGTAATACGTAACATCCTTATTTCCACTCCTTTTCAGACATTCTGCAACTTCCTTTTGCTGCCAATACGGAAATAAGCTGTCGCTCTGTACACCCAACACGAGAGACGGTATCTTGATTGTGGATAAACCTTGTATCAAGTCCTCAAGGTCGCTGGCACCAGTACTTTCAAGTGATGAAATGCTTTGTCGATTCTGCGAGATGGTAGAGCGTGTTGAAGAGGATGAAGATGGTGATGATGACGATGACGATGAAGCAACCGGTGTTGGACTATGAAAATAGCATTGTTGGTCGGATTGAGAATTAGGTTGAAGTGTGGATGATGACGAGAAAGCGGCTTGGTTTTTTTGTCTTAATTTACTGAGACGTTCGAGCTCTGATGCTGACATGTCAAAGAGATCCATCGCTTTTGAAATGTATAGCAGGGAGTTTGGATCGTATTGCAAACAGAATTTCTCTCCCTATACAATAAAAAAATATATATCAATTATACAGGAAGCGAACCCTGAATCGACAGACATTGGGTTGAATGACCGCCTGTTTCCATACCTGATAATCAAGATAAGTCTCGATCAAAAAGTCTGGACACAGCGCAGGTGTTTGATCTTCTAGTGCTCGCTTGCGACCGAATCGTCGTTCCCATTCAGGACCTGATCGATATCTAATATTAAGACAATAGATCATATCTTAATTTATCGGTTTATTATCGCCAAATCGAATTTTGTTCCGTATCAGAAGTTTGTAAATCAAGTTGTTGACATCTTTCTCACTTACGTTATTGTTGCAATTTCGCGAGCAAGTTTCATTCCAATATGTGGCGGCACAGACGAATAATAAAATCCTTTCTTCCAATTCGGATCTGACATTAAGACTACGGATTGCAAACATTTTTTGTAAGAATCGCTCTCTCTTCACAATTAGAAGATCATTCATCCTCAGTTCTCGGACTCTTTACACATGTAGCCCTTCCTCTCTTTTTTTCCCGCAATAATCCTCACCTTGTCTTTGTGTATGTCTCAGGGCAATACTATACGGATGGCTCCTAGCACAGGCACTGATACTGATCAACCTCCCTACTCTCTCGGGATACAACGCACCAGCTACCAACGATTGCATTCCACCCATACTACTACCAACGCTAGCATGTAGCTTGTCAATTCCAAGGTGGTCCAACAAATGAAACTGTGCACGCACCATATCAAACATGGTAATTATGGGAAATCTTGTGGCATAGCGTTCGTTATCGGCTGGATCAAGAGAAGACGGTCCAGTAGAGCCATAACAGCCGCCAAGGGCGTTAGTGCATATTATAAAAAATTTGTTTGTGTCCAAGGATGCGCCTGGACCTAATTTTTCAATGCAGGGATAATGTAGAGCATTGGTTAATCGTTACTCCGCGTCATGTCTCTTTTATGTTCGTCATAAATTCTTGAATAATTTATAAACACGGTTCTTCCTGGAACTTTTCTACTCACCTATAAACTTCTCCCACCAACCATCATGTTTATTCTTTGCGTGGCTTTTTGCGTGACTACTAGCACTCAATCCTGTATGTAACAGAATCACGTTATCCTTCTTCTCGTTTAATGTTCCCCATGTTTCATAAGCCAACTTGAACGATGGCAGTATTCCTCCATAATCACATAAAAACGGTTTATCATAATGGAATAATTCATAACCCGTGACGACCTTTTCATACGAAGGTTCTGGGCCACCGGACTCGAGTGACAATTCGAGCGTCCGTGTAGTCAAATGATCTATGCACGGAAAAGCGAGTGGCATGTTGGAGCCAGACGCCATGCTTGATGCGGTTGTAGAAGAGAGAGAAGGCGGAAGGGAATTAGTGGGCGTTTCGGGAGAAATGGTCGCCGACGAGGCGTTGGCATTATTTTGAGATTTGTGAAGAACTGTTAGAAATAGAAATTAAAGTAACAAATATTAGATTGGTTCTCATAATTAAGATCAGATCTAGATAATATTGCAGTGGCAATTCAACGATCGTATTAGATACAAACATCGTATGCCGTTGGTTCTAGCGTTTATACGTCCAAGCACGCTTCCATTTTCGAGCTTTCGTGCTGCTCCTCTTCCGAGTACTTCCCCGCTTCTTAGTATACGTGTGAGTACCGTCGTCGCCATTCTCTATGCAGTTCTCGCAAATAATTCGAGCCATACTAATAATGGAGGTTTTTATAAGTACTACTTACTAATACCAAAGATGACACCATTTATCTTGAAATTGATTGGAAATGATAATCAAAGGGAATAGCTCCGACCCTTCTCCTCCAATAAATTGGCTTATTGTTGAAGATCACCTTAATAGGGAATTTCTTATCGGGAAATATTATGATAACCAAAATCGTGCTTGATAGTGTCAATATGACTGAATTATTATTATTGACCGATACTTGAGCATTTTTGTAACCGACATTATTCCGTAATGGTCGAATGTTCTCGATTGAAACGTATCTTCTGGATTCGTAAGACCACAGTTGATTTGTAAGCACATATTGACCATTTTTATCTCAAAATAAGCGCGACTAAGCTTATGCAAAATATTTTCAATAGTAAAACTTCTCTTGTATAGTATGAAGTGGTTCTTGAAAAGTCAAATTTTTTTCCAACATAAAAAGTTTACTAATCAATATAATTGCACGTATAATCTCCACTCGCGTTATACATAGTCAACCTCGATAAAATAAGATAAAATCACTCTAAGATAAAGAATTTTCCCGCCCCGAATTTTTTATATTAAAAATACCTCCATAATATAAATTTTATTATAAACCCTCGATAAAACTGTAAGAACCTTCGCCCACCAAATACCATGCGTGTATTTATGAGCAAAAGGAGCAGTATTTTTGTTGTAGGTCGCTTTTCAAATGTTGTAATTATTTTTGCTTACCGTTTGAAAAATTGAGCCATAGTTTTAAGCTAGCTTCAAATAGTTGTAAAATTTGGCGATTTGCTTTGTACTGTTTTTATTTTGATTCTCCCATAAAAGCAATCGGCAGTTTTCCTATATATTTGTGCTTTTTCATAATTATGTGTCACAATTACTATTACGTTGATAACAACCGCTACATCATAGTTTTCTTTTTCAAAATAAGTGATCAATGTATATTGTGATTATATGTATAACATGCATAAAAAAATTTAAAATAAAATAATCCTTCCTCCTCATTGCTAAAGAAATAAAATAGTGTTGATTAAAACGTCTTATGCTATCGGTCTTCAATATGAATGGCTACAAATAATATTATGTCTTTTTCGTTCCAACAGCAGCACTACAGTGGCATCCTTGTAATAATTCCGAGTCATTTTACTAACGATGACTTTGCGCAATTTTCGTGTATTCCACGTCGCGACTGCTATATCCCATCCTAAAATTAGATAAATTAGAATGAAACCATTAAGATATCCTTTCGAATTGTCCTTTCTTGGAACACTCATACATGATCCAGCTAATATAAAAAATAATAATGCTTGTACACATGGATTCAACAGTTGTTCACATATTTGACGTTAAAGTAAACTTAACGAATGGTGTATTTCTCAACTTGCTAAAGAACTACGTCGATTCCAAAAGAAAATTCTGATTGGCTTGAAACGACTGCATGATGACATTCTAGAAATTACTGGTAGGGTGACTAATCTCAGTGACGGGATAATAACCGTAGGTCAGTAGATTGACTATATATTTGTAACACTTTTAACAAAATTCTTTGTACATCACATATTCTATCATAGATAATGCGTTTAAATGTCGCATATCCGCCAAAACCCCAACAGTAATGCCATGTGCTCGTCCGTGCAAATATGCCATAATTTTTACCGTGAAAGCTACTTAGTACTTGTGGGAAGTGACTCTGCTGCCAAATTGGCTGAATTCGATATAATCGTTCGCCACAATATAGTGAAGACAATCTACATCCCCCTACCAAAAGTAACCGCCACTCCTTGAAATTTACTAGTAAAACATATGAAATTTTATTTTTTTCTAAAATCTCGATTGTACGTATTACTATGTGAATCGCAATGATTTAGGTACTGTTGTGAAGCTAATTGATTGTATTTTTCGAAAAAAATAGTATATGTTTAGTTCTGTTATCGTA